ACGCAATCCCTATCAACGTTTCTCCAATTTCTACCAAATCATTCGATAATCCCCGTAACCCAATAATTTCGTTGTTTTCGTACCATCTCTTTGCGAAACATCGACTATCAGGAGCAATCGCGAGACCTAACGTGCGTTATCAATCGTTCGTACGTGGGCGTGAAATAAATCCGGTTAATTGCGAGCGAGCTATTAACAAGGATCGCACACGCGTTCCGTCGATGCGCACACAGGGAACGATTAGTATGGCACGGTTACAATGAGAGGAAACGAGGTCGTGATACTCGCGGGTAGAATCGGGGGCAAATTTCCAGGGATTGGAATCGATGTCTTCTTAATAACGCCGCGGATGAGGCTGTCGTCGAATCGTGCGACAACAATACCGAAACAGCTCGATATCGTGACCGACATCGTTCCACTCTCGATGATTATTTCTCGTCGAATCGACGTCCCTCTCTCTCTCTCTCTCTCTGTTTCGGCCCGACAGAAACAAAAAAAGAAATAAAATGTTCCTCTTCACCCCAAGTTATTTCTTGGCATACGCGCGATATACTCCGTTCAGAATACTACTTAGGAAAATTTCACTTTCCAGCCAAGGAAAGGATGATGAAATTGCACATTCTACTTATTCTGTTAATTTCGGGTGGATTCGGATACTGTCGTAGCAAATTTTGCGAGAAAGAGACAGATCAGATTGTTGAGGAGAATGGGGAATTATATTATAGTATTGTACTAAAACTGTAGTAATTACAACAGAGTCTATAATTAACTGAACAACAGGAAATGAAAAATTTAGAATAGAACAGTGTTTCTATTATTACAAAGATTTTGGATTCGTTGTTGGCGTTCCACGAAATTTCTCGGAATAGTCCATTAAATAACTAACGTACAAATTCGTACACCCGAAACGAGCGAACTGACACGTTGATGAATTTTGGCTACTTTGACTTTTCACATCTCGGGAATTAAATCTCAATTCAGTTTGAAAATTTCTTGTGATTGACGTTTCATTATGAATTATCATTTAATACACAATCCAGGCTGAAAATCGTGGAATTAAAAATAAGCGAAACACACACACATACACTGATTTTTGGATAATTCTTTCACGGACAGGAGATACACTGTCACAAACGATGCAACGTTTTCAATCACGATGCAATTATAAGTTTAATACATAAACAGATATTTGGAATAAACAAATATTTGAAAAGACCGTCTCTTAATAAAACTTCAAACG